TGGGTTGCGTGTGGGTCACATGCAAGCCGCACCTAGGTTCCTGGTGCATTTCCAACAGTATCTTCATAGAGAAAAAGACCCGCGCGTTGACCAAGCAGAAAATAGACCATTGTAGATTGGCTGTCCCAAAAGGACTGGACAAAAGGGCCTAGCTTGGCTGGCGACTTGCACAAGTACATTGCAACTATGTCGACATTTCCTCTCACTGTTATTAAGTGAAAGATGGCCATTGGTGCCCAGGTGCGATGGGTGGAGTATTTCTAAGGCAGTGAAAGAAATCCGAATGCGTTCCCCGATTCAGCCCCTTCCCGACCAGATCGGTCCCACGTCGTCTGTGATGCTCCATCCTTTGCAATTGTAAACGCTTTGCATTAATCCAATTAGACACTTGATCGCGTTTAAGTCTCGTCAATCTTTGCTGCTGAGAAGAAAGACCCTGTTTATGACAAGGTGCTACTAATAAGTCAAAATGCCCTTGTTGAGTTTTACATTCGCCAGGCCGTTTGTGATCAATACAAACACTGCGTCTTTGAGCACAGCAATGTCGTCATCGTTTGTCTCAATGTGAGTTGCAAAACGGTTGTGTTTGTTTGCAAAGTATAGCCTTAAGGTATAAGCTAAGTGATGGTCGATGTGATTTCACGTCATCCCGACACCATATCGTCGCATGTCACGATGGTGATGTCGCCATTGTAACAGGTGATAAATACAGCGTATGGGCCATACGTAACATGTGTTGATCCACTGGTAGCTTTAAGGTGTTCACAGCGGGGCTACCGTAGCTCTTTGCTCCTGAGGTCACCGACCTGACGTTCTTTCTAACAACCAGTACGAATATAGCGGATCGCAATCCGCTACCTCCAGAGTACTTTAAACCTTAACCAAGGTATAGACGCTCTTCCGTTCAGAATCTAAACTGTATTTAATTGTTTAAGTTGCTGCAGAGCCGCCTATATCTAAAACCTTAGGTTTTCCTAGTTAATATAGTGATTGATAATTATATGCATTACTATTGGCAGTCCTGCCGCGTAGTGGCGTCTTGTAACGGTGTAGCCATATCATTGTGTGATTACACCGACTTGTGTGATTCACACCTACGTACGGTCACATCATCTTCTGTGACCCATCCTTTCATACAAGGGTACGTGTAACCCCGTTACAGTGTCTGAGAGCTCAGACGCGCACGTCTGTACCGATAACTTTTCTTTATAACAGCACTGACCCACATGACATCCAGCGTGTAGTGATGAGGACCTAAGGTTCAAATTACTGAATGAGGCACATCATTGGTCACCTCGAAAGAGAATAATAAATACTGCTCGCCGAGCGCTGTGTATTCCTTCCAACATGTATTAGTGGCTAAGCACATATGTGCGCACGTGTCAAATGTGTCAACAGGTTGAATTACTGTTGTATGCAGCGATAATTTTGGCCGGATTGTCGGGTGCTGGTAGTTTATAAGCACTAACTTGAGTTTTGGTGTTCCAAAAGACGCGTCTGGTAGTACAGGTTGTGTCGTCTCTGCAAGGTGGCTAGTTTCGCTGCTATCTGCGATATCATGGCCAGTGGAGAGACAACTGAGATGCACATCGACAAAGTATTTGTCCGACTTGGGTTGTCGATGAGTATTGTATCGGAATAAAGATCCGCGCTTTACAATAAAATTGTGGCAAGCATTTTTGAAGGTGCTGGATGCAAGGTTGCATATGTCGATCGCATACCACATGCAGACAAATGATGAGAAGGAGCGCATATAACAAGCTCTGGAGGGTATCCTACGATGCGTCTGCGCAAAGAGACCGCATTGCTAAAGTGAGTGCTTTCACTCAATTTGTAAAGCAGCATTTTACTTCACAAGCTTTGACCCATTATATTTTAGTAGGTGCCTGTCAATAAAATTGAATAGACCGTCTGCAATTTGCAGCAGGATTAGTTTTTGCATATTGACGGAGCTAATCGTTTGGTACAGGGTTCGTGATGCCATGGCTGAAAGCCAAGACAAAGTAATATTGAAGACAAAAACAGACGGGGCACACAAAAATGTTGTTCGAGATAAGATTTCATTGAGTGCAATTAACCTATCTACGTATGCAATGTCTGCGGTATGTGAGATCACGTTGCGACAGCTGCATCAAACCGTTCACGGTCGTAGCAAATAGAGAATTGATTCATACTTTGAATATCTCGAGGAAAATGCAAACACATCCAGTATTCTATACGGGGTCACTGAAGCCAGACCATATTCTTGCACTTTCGAGCTAGCTGGACGCAAGGTGCTTTGTCGCAGGCAAAGTAACTTTTCTAACCTCCCGAGTGGCTAGTCAACCTTCTGGTTCAAAGCAGCCATACAAGTTCTAAATCGCTTGGATGCCTGAAGCAAGGTGCTGCAATAACGAAGATCAAAAAGCAAATCGGAGATCTAACTTATCTCAGCCTTGGACTAACGCCGGTACCCTCGAAGAAAGTCGACGTGCCACTAGCTCGCGAGATCTAGCCTTAGGAGGATTGACCCCCACCGGCACTGCTCGACGAGAAAGGTCTGGCCCATTTCATGTGGAACATTTGTTAGATCAACGGGTACACCAGGGCTGTAACTAGTACCTGGTGATTGGAAGGGTCACTCATACTCTGTAAAGGGGTGTGAACTTGAGGCTCCACTTTGACATTTTATTTAACCAGATTGCCGCTTACGAACCAGCTCACCCTCGTATCCAACTTCCTATTCAGAAGAGGCAAGTTCTCGTCGCAGCGAGATTCTCGCAAATCTAAGGCGGCTCACCTTTCGGGGTAAGCTGTCTCGTGGGAATGAGCGGGACTGTGAAAAGCCGAAACACGTGATGGGTTGTCACCTAGACGTTGCTGTCGTGCTCTGAGCTTTGTGAGGTCGAGACTTAGACGACATTTTTTAGAAAACATCCGCTTCGCTGAAACGGCTATATATAATACTGAGATGAATAAGCTGGTGTATTTTTTTCACCAATACAAAAGCTGAGTCATCTACTCAGTGGCAGTTTCGACAGCTTCTAGAGGTCAAAGTATATCACTTGTGTAGAATATGGGTTTTTCTTATCGCCGCTGCTCCAAGCGCAGATGGTACTTTCTTACTTCAAGCTGGAGAAGTGCTCGCAGGCGCCCGACTTTGAACGAATTGATTCTGTTATTACGACATGATTTGGGCAAGAGTCGGCGTGGCATAGCTCTTGCGGTAATGGAATTTGGACTCCTTGAGCCCGATTCAGTCGTCGGACATCGTCGTGAGCTCCACGGCAGAATGTCTAAATACGTCTATCCGGTGAAAGAGACACGGTGTCGAGATTCGTGCAGCGTAGAGGGTGAGCGCAGTGAACCCAACCTACTACAGAACGGCTAAACGATATATCGCAAGATAAATATATTTTAACGCATCTGCTGCGAAGACCGCGTTCGTTGCGTGATCTCTTTGAGCCATTCAAATCGAAGCACAACAATGGAGTCCCGGTGCAAGTACGTCAGAAAAGAAGGCACGGTAAGGTGCAGAGAGTAGAGCGGAGCGTCAGACGTACTGGTTGCTCGTGGGGCAGTTACTTTTTTCGCGGTGTCTTATAGGGAGCGATTGCGATGTCATGTCAGTGTTTGACAACGCTGAACTCCAGTGTTGCTTTTATCCTATTGGGGATGGTGTCACACTAAAATCTTACACATTTTGTGCGGTAAAATTGTATGAGGTTTATATTACATTTTGTGTAACTGTAAATATTCATAGGACCAGAATTATTAAACGAGAACACATGACAGAGCAATAACCTTAAGTAAAACACATACACTTGGTAGTTATATGAATTCTAGACAAGTAGCAGAGCAAGCCAATGCATTGGTTAAAGGCATTTGGTTTTGCTCTTGGTTAAATTGCATAATTCCAACCACTGTGCGTTTGTTAACGGAATTCGAGAGTCATAGCGCACTGTACACAGTGCACGCCAACTCCGTTGCAAACCATCGTGTGCAATACAAGAGTCTCAATATAGATTTAGCCGATTCTAAATCAGGTTCTTTTACTTCAAGAAACATCAGTAGCTCACACTGCAGAAGAATGAAAATTATGAGCACAGATAAAGTCACTTATCGGTATAGCCAAAGCAAATTCATTGTGTGCAATCAATGCGGTGAACCAGAGAGAGAGCAGGGGGTGCCTATGTGGGATACAAGCGTAAGACGAATAAATACTCGGCCATCACATGGTGTCATGAAAATTTTATTACAGCAATTCATGAGTTAGATATTTTCAACACTTGGACTTAAGTAAACAATCAAAATTCTACTAGTCTTGACTTTTAAGGCACTTGCACATATTTTGTGACACCGATTACATTTTGCAGTTTTCATTTATTGATTGTGAGGCCTTTGACGTCTCGATCAATCAGCAAGTCAACTACGTGCGCAGTTAATTCAGCTCTATCTGAAGAAATTGGTGCAGCTTCCATCTAATGATTTTGTAGTGATACTTTAACGATCTCATGAATTTGATAAGCCTTGTGCCGCTTGTAAGACGATCTCACTCTATCACCTTGATTTCGAATGTTCTTTTATCTTTCCTTAAAAACTGAGCAGTTCACTTCTGTCATATGCTTCATCCACTCGTCCACGTGCAAATTTGAATATGTAAAGCCAGCCACAAGCTCTTTTCAATTTGAATATATGACTCACACTGCTCGTCATCGCGCTAATGTTAGCCATCGTTGTCCACGCTGCTGCCTCATTGTCGCTAATTCCGACACAAAAGCGTGTGATCAGTCGTACAGCATAGAATCTCGCGAAGGTGTATACTCCACCTTGCTATCGATCATTACCAATTTAAGCTTGTTCGTGGAGTCAAATCTTGTCTATAGCAGTGTATCATTTTATCATATACATCAATGACACCAATTTGTTCTGCTTGGATGCAACAGACACGCTGCGACTTTCTTCAGCAGTCATCTTGTCAGGAGAAACAAAACTAAAATAAAATTTATTCAATTAAAAAGTTAAGAGTAACAACAAAACTACATTTCATTAACAAACTCAGTGTCCCAAAGTGTTGTACTGCTTCCTCGAAAGCATGTTTTTAGGTAGTCAGCGCCTGCTTTTTCCTCCGTTTCTTCCTCAGTCTATCCTTCAGTCTTTGCCTGAGGATTTTCAACTGTCTATCCCTCGCTGCCTTCGTTATCTTTTCTTTTTTTCGGGAAACGACTCGGACATATTTCGAATAATAATGTTTGGCACGTTTTTTTCGATCTTCTTCTCGGTTGTAATCCGGATACAACAATCCATTTGCGGGTCCAATCACTCGAACCCGGGGTCCCCAACCTCCAGAGTCTACTTTTCCTCCACCTCCACCTCCACCTCCGCCTCCGCCTCTGAATCCACCTCCGCCGCCACCTCCGCCTCTACCTCCGCCTCCACCGCCACCTTTGCGTTCCTCAGAATGGACAGTTGATTCGTCTGATTCTTGTTCAAGAGTCACGAGGCCATTTGAATTTTGAATCGAATTCGGCTTCACTTCGTTGTCAAGTGCAGTGGTGATGCCGTTGCCGACCGTTAATGCTGCAGTGGCCAGCACCAAGTACGAAAGACGCATGACTCTTTATGATGCCAGATGTGTGCTGAATTGTGGAATTTGGCGAGTGGAAGTTTGCTATGACAGAAAACCACTTCAATTAAAGTGGAAAGCTTGTGGTTATGAGTCGAATATGATCATTTATCAAGCATGGTACTTCAAATATTAAAGGAGAGCCGAAGCAAATAAGATTTGCATAACCACACGTCTTTACGGTCAAATCTTCCGACACAGCACTCGATACTTCTCATTAGTATTCTAATATGCATTGGCTTTTTTGTGTATATTACAGAGCCCTGAACATTGTCATGGATTAGTTAGTACACTTCCTTAGCATTAGACAGAAGTTTTATAAGTGACAACAAACAACACATACGTTAGGCACTAAAAGCTGATGGGCATGGATTACTCACACCCGTTTCGCAATGTCGAACTAAACTCCTAATCGATGCTAAGAAATTGGTTTTGATTCTGTTGCCGCATCGTTTACACGAGTAAGCGATTCTTTGAGTAAATATTTGAACTCTTGTTGTACTTTACGAAAGTTTCGTAAGTCCGCCGTGTGTACACGATTAAAATACCAACAGAACTCAAATATTCATCATAATATCACCTAAGTTACATCCAGATCTTCATCTTCCGAAAATTACTATTATGATGGCGAATGTCGTGAAGTTACACCTCAGATTTCGAAGGACCCAAAACTATCGACTCTCATTTCCTCTTGGTCCATTTTCAGTATTCGCTATGGTATTACAAACAAATTATCAATCCTTCCATGAAGGTGATGAAGTCTAAGTATATCATACGAGTTCATTTGACTAGAGTTAGCCAGTTGCTAAGTTTACCAGCAATAAAGCAGAGGTATCTCTCACCATACTTATTAAACTTTTAAGACTGACATTTATTTAAGAATCATTATATTTAGATCAATACTAAATTATACCTCTCACCATCTCTCATAATAAAATGCCTTCTCCTTTACAAAGTCCCATCAGCTGCATAGGTACCAAACTATCAACACTTCGGAACTCGATCCATTACTAAACTGGTGGAGCTTCAAAAGCGCGAACGCAAACATGACTCTCTTCTGGATGGGTCCAGCTTGCATCGAACTCAAATTAAACGTCGTGATCCTCAATGTGGTCGATCTCGAAGTTTAGATGATGGACCGGCTTGACCACGAAATAAACCACCAGTTGATTGATCTCCACCTTGTGCTCTTCAATTTGTGAAGCACATCGTAAACGAAACGCATCTTGAAAACGTGCTTATTTGAACGCGTCACCAGGTCAAAGAAGACCTTGCCTTCTCCTCTATCGAAATGCACCGCATCGTAGCCACCATGATTCCACACGGTCGGCTATGGTCTCTTCTAATTTGTCCCTCTTGTAGCACTTTGAATCGAAGAACGTTTGCTTGAGGCATAACCTCTCCAACTCCGTGGTCGCCCAATAATTTTACAGGACGCCTTCACAGATACCAAAAAAAGTCATTCAAAAAGGTGGCCATCCAACGAAAGATTATTTGACGCATTGAGCAAGCCGCCAACTGTGCAACGATTTCCTCGTCACATTCTTACGAGAAGAGGTAGGCTGCATAGGAGCGTATGGGGAACGCGTTATCCGTAGACACGTTGTATTCCATAGATCCTGTTGATTGCATCGGGTGCAGATAGCCAACGCAATATTTGACCTGTTCGCGGCAGATCGAACCCCAGATTTCGAAATATCCATCACTTCATCCATAAGGTGTTGTAATACGAACAATTATTAGTCGCCAGCGTAATAGATAATCAAACTCAGTGCATGATTCTACTTGCCATCTTCACTCCATCCTGCTTCGAAATCATCATCGTCATTTACCTGGTTGGAGTTCGTCATGTCTAATAGTGATAAATCGTTCCATAAAAAGTCTGATCGGCGATGGCTGCGACGTATTCGTCATGCGTCCACGAGTACATGATATACTTGGATGATTGTACAGCAATTATCCTCCCAGTTCCTCTTCGCAAGAGTGGCCATCGAGGATCATACAATAATCTTACTTGTTCGTCGAGATGCGCAAAGACGCGTTTAAAGAATAGCTCGTGCGTCGTCATTGCCTTATTGCCATCCAAATAAATGAAGAGCTTCTTGCCAACGACAATTCAAACTTGATTTGTCAACGATTTCCCAGTATTCCTTCAATCCCAGCGCCAGACAAGCGTTCAAACGATTACTCCAATGAATCCAAAAAACATTACGTTCCCGTCAATTTAAAAAGCCACAAGACTCAGCGTAGACACAGACTTGCCTATGCCAGGACGTCTCACAATGAATCCTCGTCCATTCTTTGCAACGACTTCGTAAGCTCCACAGATCGCGCACTTGAACGACGACGATACAGCATCAAAAGTCATTTGAGCTTTGTAACCACACTTTTCGCGAAATGCAGCTGGCAGCATCACATATTGCAATTGTTTCTAATGTCAATCTAAGGCTCATCAACGTGATCGCTTGTTAGAACAAGACGTGAATCTCTTCTTCTCCGAACTGAAAGCCCCCAAGTACTCTGGCTTAATGATCCATCAATTGAAAATCATCTCCTCCCCATATTTGCTATATTGTCGTCCTCGTTTCAGAGGAGGCTTGAGTGTGTGGTTGCTCTTTAACCACATGTCGTTATTCTCCGCCAAGTACAACGTCAACAACTGTGGGGGACAGTGGGTTGCTCGGTACTCAAGATTCCAGCAATTTTTTGGCATTGCTTGTGAGCTCACTGGAAATCGCCGTTCGACTGAGAGCACATTCACGCAACCTGTTTCTCACTGCAATAAATAATTTTATTTCTGACAAATTTATATATTTTAATATAGAGAAACTAAGAAATAGTGAGTCATAAAGACAATGATAACAATATTCTTTCCAGAAAACCGCCAATGTTGATGAACCAACAATGACCAAACTACTAAAGAAATTTATGGTGAGCATTGCATTCACACATCAAATCTGTTGATATACGATCAACTTAAAATGGAAGATAGACGCATATTGTCACTACTTGGTGATTCCATCGACTACACGCACAGTGATAATGTCACGACTGACTTTGGAAACAATGGGTACACCAACAACTTGCGACATCATGTGAATGACGTGGATGACCAGTCAAGACCTATAATCATATAAACAAACAAACGTTGAATGCAGACATTGCATAATTTATACAGGATGATTTGAAGTGATCGGTTTTGCAGCGATCGGAACGTGTGGAATCTCGCTGGATTTGTTGCTCTCCAGCCACATTCTATTTGGTACTTGTTGCGCGGGACCTGTCTCTGTGTCCTTAAACAAAAAGTAGAGCGTTTCACAAGAAATTTGCTAAAAATTATTTGATGGTCGGTTCGATTGTAGGTATAACTCATCGCTGAACGAAGGCAAACTGAATGGGATTGCTGCTGGTTCTGATTTCGTCGAATACAAGAAATGGAATTATGAAGTTAAGGGGCCAAGGAAGGCATTTACGTCACAGACCTTCGAGCTTTTTATACTTTAATTTGAAAGGGATTGCTGTTGGTTGTGATTTTGTCGCATACAAGCAATCGACAAGAATATATGAAGTCAAGGTACCAAGAAAACTATCTACTTAGAAGCGTATGACTTTCCAAAACTTGGTCAAGTTTTCGAAATAACATTCATATCGGCGCAAAAGTTAGCAACGCTAACTTAATTGGTGGGGCTAACTGGCCGAACGATTAAAATACATGCGTCCAGCCATGGTTGATATATCATTGGAGGCCAAAGAAGTAACTATTGATCGAGCACAGACCCGATCGCGAATTTAATATGAGTTTCAGTCCTTTCGAGATTTGTTGGAAACTACGAACTTCGAGTCACCTCGGTGGAGTTGTTGTCACGTCACATATTTGCGTACGGCGCATAACGGTAACTTGCAAGTTGAAAATAACCTTCTCGAAGATCAAGTTTGCAAGGTTACAGAACATGCGTTAATGGTTACGCTGCGAGCAACAAGACATCTTTAGCGGTTTTGAGCCCAAACCCTTCCAATCCCAACGAGATACTTATCGACGACAACTACTACATGTGTAATTTCAACGACCGGATGCGTTGGCTAGAAAGGGGCTACAAGGACACCACAATGCCATGAAGTCAGTAGACGCAGCGTTCTGTGAGACGGAGGAGTGGATGGCCGCCGACATGAGGGCGCTGGTTATTGTGACGCAGGTGCTTCATGAAGCAGTCACTTGATAACCGTGTATAATTGAAGAAACAGCTCCATGGATTTTCGCTAGGCACGGGCGGAAACCTGATGAAGCACATCGTTAAGTTTGATGATCTGTGCTCGCGATTGACTGCGGTAGGCGAGATCGTGTCTGAGGACAAGAAACTGATCGTTTATTTGGAAGCTCGCTTTGGGAGTATGATACAATAATTCGTATTATCGAGGCGCACAAGAAGGTGGCGTTGCTGGCCGCAAAAGAGATGCTACGGCTTGAGTTCGAGTTGACTAAGATGAGAGAAGAGAAAGAGAGATTATTGAAGGCCTCGATGCGTGATTAAGGCAGTCGATGCGGTCGCGGAAGAGGTGATAGAGGCCAACGTGGTGGTGGAGGTGGTCTTGGTGGTCGTGGACATCACCTGAGGAAAAACACTAGACCAACATTTCGTTGGTACTGCTTGAACGTCAATGAGTACGGTCACAAGCGTGACGACTGTCCTGAGATAAAGAAATTGGAGGGTAAATTTGTTTTCTCGGCCACAACCGATGGTTCAGCACGAGAGGTTACCTGGCTGCTGGACAGTGGAGCGAGCTGCCACAAGACGGATGTGAATATGGACTTTGTGGAGTATTAAAAGTTGACGATGCCAGTCATCATCACCGTGGTTAGTGGACAGCAAGTGCTAGCCGAAGGAAAAGGAGCTATGCGTTGTGTTAACGAAGCAGCGCAAGCTATCAAGCTGACGGACGGTTTGTATGTGCCCCAACTGGATAGGAAGCTGGTGTCTGTTCCGGCATTTGGCGTTGTCATGCAGTTCGAGCACAACCAAGCGATGCTAGTGGTAGATGGAGAAGTGCTAGATAGAATTCATCGAAACATAAGCTGTTCATGTGACATTTACAGCAGCTGAAGGGAGAACAAGCCGCCCGGGCAGATTCTATTATGGGTGGAGATAGAACGTTATGGCACGCCCGACTGGACCATGTTTCCGCATTGAAGATGCAAGCTGCTGCAGAGATAAGTAATAGACTACCCTGACTTCAGTATGAAGAAGACAACGTGATCGTTAATTGTGGTGGCTGTGCTCAAGGCAAGATAACGACGAGACCGTTCGCACGAAGTTCCGGCGGTGAAGTCAGGACTAGGAGCCTTCTGAAAGTCGTACACACTAATTCCATGGGCCCAATGAAGTTGAAATCAAAGTGAAGCTTTGAATGTGATAACGTTCATCGACAACTACAGTGGATACGTCTACGTGTATCTGCTTTCTTCGAGAGCACAGGTCTTTGGACGCTTTAGCGAGTTCAAGGTCCTCGTAGAGAACCAAATTGGCTACAGGATAAAGCGTGTCTGTAGCGATAATGGTGGAGAGTACACCGAATTCAATCGGTTTTGTGCCACCAATAATATTATGCATCAAACAAGTGCTCCGTATCCTCCGCAGCAGAATGGTTTGGCGGAGAGAATGATCCGCACGTAAACTGAAATGGCCCGAGCGATGATGTATCATATGGATGTTGAGCGACTCTGGTGGGGATAGGCCGTGATGATATCTGCTCATGTAGTTCATTGTATCTCGAACACTGCTCGTCACGACAAGACTTCAATATGCACCTTCGGGTATTTGGATATACCGGGTACGTGGAACTCAACAAGATTAAGAGGACGAAGTGGGACGCCGTTGCGTCTTTTTGGGATATGCTGACGGCTCGAAGTCATATCAAGTATGGGACCTTAACAACAATAGACTGGTCAAAACGCGCACGGTGACGCTAAATGAGTGGTCATTTGCTCGTCATCGCGATGTATTTTCGTTGTTTGCGCTTAGAGAAAGCGTAATTTAGGTCACCGACCTTACGTTCTTCACAAGAACCAGTACGAGTGTAGTGGATCGCAATCCGCTACCTCCGAGAGTAGTTAGAAACTTCAATCAAGGCTAGAAAACTCTTCCGTTAAAAATGTAAACTGTATTTATTTATTATATATCTGTGGTAAAGCCGCCTAATCTTAATTGTATAGATTATCCTAAATATATATACAGTAAAATCTAAATAATGCATAACTACTGACTACCCAGACACGTACCGTATTCTTATTTCGGTGCAGTCACACCATGCCCATCTCGTGTAACACACACCCCTTTTACCAGGGTACGTGTAACCCCGTTACACTCTCCCCCCTTAAGACTGAGAATATTTACAGTTCCAATCGATTGCTGCCTCAACGAGGCTTGCGTGTCCGCTAGACACTACAACCTGGTTCGTTGGAACAAAACGACTTCCGTGCTCAATGACCCCTGTGTCAGCGACACTGATGTCACCAAGTCTCGCTAGTTCTGATAGCGCACACGGGCAGAGCCCAACTTTGTCTCCCGCACGCGGTGCAATATCGGATAGTGTGTCCGCGGCATCGAGGGATGTAAGTCCTAGGCTCGATGAGCCCAAGCGTCGCGCTCCGCGCATGCCCTCAGTGACGAGTGACCTCGTTGAGGATGTGGAGGTGGTCGCCTACGACTCTGACACTCCTTTTCCCGGGTGGGATGACGAGAAAGGCGAGCCGCGCCAGCAGCGTGAGACGATCCCTGCTCGCGCCTTGCGGACTCCATGTCAGTTTTCTGGCCTCTCATTACCTGAGGGACGTGGTGTCATCACCAATAACCGATGAGTCGCAGATGCGGCAGCTGGAAGCTGCCCGTAAGGCGGCTTTGATGTGCGCCCATCCACGGTCGGTCTTTGAACCTCGTGTGGATATGGCTTCCGCCCGGCGGATCCCGCTGTTGAAGCGAAGGACGTGGTTACTCGATCGTTACACCTCCACATCATCTGGCCCCCGGCCTTTACGGAAAATGAGCTTGCCCACGGAAAGCTCTTCGAGTTCATTTCGAGGTTCCACAAGAATTTCTGTTGGAAGCTTATCGCATTCGTCTGCGTGCTCAACGAGGTGGCTCTCGTGTACCCGCAATGCGGACAATATTTGTAGTTCTCGCCTCTGGTGAAGGCGCTACAGATGACAAAGCGCTCTTTGAGATATGGGTGCAATGGCACCGGGAGCTTTCCTCACTGTATAAATTACAGTTGAGCCATAAGGAAGTGGACGTGCGTGTAGAGCGACAACTCCGATTTGAGTTTTCCAAACTCAAGGCACGCCGTCGACTTCTTTCAGATTGCCTACCTGCGACGTATGGGTAAACCCCTAACGCTCCCGCGAGCTCTGTGTCTGCGACCGCACTGCTTGAGCTCAGCCCATGGCCCTTCAACTTCCCTGGCTATTGCCGG